ACGAAAATAGTACCAGGTGCCCCTGTACCCCTGTAAATCTGCTCCGACAGCATCACGTCCGTCGAGGTGAGCGCGAGCGGAAGACGATGAACCACTGTAGCTAGCTGGAGGCAAGCTTAGGACTCACACGTGGGCTCTAACAGCAGGGTTTGTCAGGTGGGTAGTTGTCAAAATTATGGTCCCTTTTGGGGTACCCTAAATAATAGGTGCCGTATTATAATAAGGACCCAAAAAGGGACCATAATTTTGACAACCACCCAGGTGTCTGACTGACATCGTTTGGCCGCCGGAGGAGGTCTGGCCATTGAAGCTGCTCTTTCTACCACTCGCAACTCAGCGGCAGACTTCAGGGCTTAGGTTAAGATGTGGGATTAGATCGTGTTCGGGTGACGAGTCTAAATTGTAAGCATGTTTCAGCTTCGTTCGTTTTGCACTCCCACGTTCATGACCACGAACTGCAGAATTAGGGGCGAGGGTTGTAGGGGCTCATCGCTGCGATGGCACTTGAACAATTGTAGCTGTCGCAAAGGGCCTGGTTCGACTGGCTGCCTAAGACCCAATTTCTTGCTGTGCAGACTTTCTGTCCCGGTGGCCAAAACTTTATGAGAAAGGGCTGAAGTTGACTTGGAGCACAAGATTTGTGGATAATCACTCGCTCTTCCGCTCCGTGCCTTCTGCCTCACGACATCTCACTCACACCACCGGGGAGGTCGGCATCAACTGAAGTGCTCGTGCTCGTGAGATCCTTCATCCTTGGCCACCAAGGCGAGTGGTGCCAACGGACCCAACTCGTATTCGGCCTCTATCACCTTATCCAGCCCAGCTGCAGGCTCAAGAGCGTGTCCACCTTTTCCCTGGCAAGGACACGCTGGCACGAGTTTATGTACACCGTTGAAAAGGTTCGAAACTTTTGCCGGCCACTGCAAATCGGGGCAAAGACATCCGCAAACTTCGAAGCTATGCTTGCAGGGTACAAGAGTCTGTCCGGGCCATTACTTTGATTCTGAAGCAAGCACGAGCATCCCGAATCTCGAGGCCATGCCTACCACAGCGACAACAACAACATGATGATGATGATGATGATGGTGATGGTGATGGTGATGGTGATGGTGATGTTGATGGTGATGGTGATGGTGATGGTGATGGTGATGGTGATGGTGATGGTGATGGTGATCATCATCATCAACAACAGCACCATCATTAACATCAGCGTCATCATCATCATCGTGCTCATCGTCATCGTGGTTATCACCGTCATCACCACCATCATTGAATCCTCATCATCTGTTTATGCCAGTTCTGAAGCCACTCTTAGGTCAGTAAGAACCTGGTAAGAACTCTCCGAGCTCGTCTTCCCCATGGCCACCACAGAACAGAAAAATCTCCTCGTAGGGTTTTTGTTGCCTCCTGCTTTGCTGAGCGAATCACTATTTTCACACTTGGTGGCACACCACCGTGCCACCAGCACACATTCACACACGACGGACCCAGTCGCTGCTCCAGTGCATGCAAGTGTTCGCGGCATGCACGCGTGCAGGCACCACAGGCAGTGTGCCGGGTCTGACAGTTGTGAATTCAAAACAAAGGCTCAGGTGAACTGCACGACAATGCGCTCTGGCATTCATGTCTCAACGCGTTTGGCATGCAGTGGAAACAGCAACAAGGTCTGAAAGGTTTCAAGGATCCCATCGTCCCTCCGACATCCCTCTCTTCACATTCTCCTAACTAGACTGCTCTTGGCAAAATGCCATCATCAGCAAGGGTTTCGACTTCTCGATTTGTGCGTGTCACCCTTGCGCATGAACAAGGGTATAGGGCTTTGGGCTTGGACCCGCAGCACGGCAAATAGCAAAGCTGTAATTACGGGCGCCCAGGGCACATGTTGTGCCCTGCTTCTGGTAGCCAAGCATACAAACCCTTACAAAACCAAAGCCCCTAAACCACAAGCCGAAAGTCCGCCATAGCTCGTTATTTAAAGCATGTTATATCATGGTACATTATAAGTACCTTATGTTATCGCATGTCATGCTAGAACATCCCATATGATATTATAGTTTATAGTATACTATATTGCAGTATGTTAGAAATTCTTAGGGGCTGAGTAATTTAGCCGAGTTATAGTAGGATTATATAAGCCCCAAAAGGTTAAAGGTTATCTACTCAGCCCCTGAGAATCTGACATAATCCTGGCTAGGTCGGCCTGTGCCCTGCACCGCCATCATCGCGGATCTGCTCGAGGCGCTCTTCCGTGTACAATTCACCTGGGCCGGAATAGGGTTTAGGGTTTAGGGTTTAGGGTAGTCCATGGGCTTTTTTTGCCCACCCGCCCAGCTGACAAAGTCGCATCCACGGGCTTAGGGTCCAGGGTTTGGACTCTCCCGACTCGGACTCTGCAGGCAAGGTTGGTACGGCGCGAAGGAGGCAGGTTTAGGGTATATAAACCCAGTGGACATATTTGGATCATTCGAGGAAGAATACATGGCAGCAGTCATGGCACGGATAATTCTATGAACAAACACTTGCAAAGTAAACCTCACTTGAAGACACTGTGAGGACATCATGGCCCAAAAAAAGAGTGGCAACTGCATTACTCGTGGTAGCAGAAGTCATGGTGACCAGCCTTCTGCTAGCTCTAACTAAGAAGTGGTAACTGTACTTGCAGGGGCGGCACGAATTCTGGAGGAAGCGGTGCCCTTACCGGTGGCAAATGAAAGCATCAGTATACACGGAAAACAGCAGCAGAAGTAGCATAGTCATCGGTGTCGTCTTGGTAGTACTACTCGTGGTCTTCTTGGCGTCGGAGTGAGAGGAGCAACTGCTTTATACCGCTCGAGCAGTAGGAGCTGCAGCTGCTGCGGTGAGAACGTGCAGCTGGGCAATCGCACGCAACCAGCCATGCAAAGGCTAGGACCAAGACTGATGGTAGCCCATGCGACAGTCACAATGAAACGGCCATAACCGCCCGGGGACTTGAACTCCGAAATCTTCTGCACTCCCAGCCACAGACAGCTTCGAAGCATGACCACCTCAAGGAAGTCTCGGCATTTCAGGGCATTGCTGCTTTCGATTCTGCCCGTAGCGTCAGACATGCCATTCACCTCCGACCTACTGCCTTCCAGATGTTGGGGACCACACTGAGGAACAGTCACGGAACTCTTTCGTGACAAATGATGCACACAAGGTGTGAGATGAAGAGCTAGGGCTAGGAAATGCACTGCCCGCCTGCCCGTCCCCTCTCCAGATGTCTTGTGAGCCTGCACGGCCTCGCAGCTCGTCAAGTGCCGCACAAATCCAAGGTTCCGTTCTCGAGTTGAAGAATCGGCTTCATGACAGGACTGGCGAAATCCACACACACACACACACACCAACTCGACCAACGGGCAAGCCTGTCAGACCTCGTCATGCGAGGACGCGCCTCACAAACATTTGTGGCAAACACCACGGACAAGTCCTGGAGCTTGGGGTCGTGGCCTCGCTGCACGGCCAAAGGATTTGGTTTTTGCATCAGAGGACTCGGAGAAAATGTGACAGGTGATCTGGAGTAGCAGATTGTATTGAGAGATCGTAAAAACAGTGCTGTCTGTGAGCACTCTGTCTCGTGAGGCCGAGGCTGTCTAGCATCGCTGCCATGGCATTCAAGCAGCCAGCTTCTACCTGCATCAAAAGCTGCCACAGCAACGATAGGCTGCAATTTTGCAACCAGAACTCAGACAGAACTCAGAATGCCTGGTTCAAAACCTGTTCAACAGAATCAGCACCACAGAGTCACGGCATGGCTAAATCTCAGCGACAATCCATACCCGCAGGACATATGCCGAGGTGCTAATGGCTGGACCTGAGCTTCATTATGCAAACCATGCAAGCGGATTCCGTGCTCAAACCTCGAAAGCATGCCTGTTCGGCCATGTTCCTACGGCCCTACTATTGTGATACGTTGCTTAGCTCTTTAGCAAACGGTCGTACTGATGTGTTACTCTAGAAGTGAAAGCATCAACATCCCCAGAGAACCCAATACCCCTTAATTAAGGAATATAGCTTAACTTATAGGGGCCTTAATATTATGATTTAGGGTATCTTCCTTAATAATTAAGGGGTATTGGCATTGGGTTCTCTCTGGGTCCGTCCAGTTGCCATCGACTTCTTCTCGCTGGCATTGGCCAAAGCGAAGGCCACCTCGCGACAAGTCGGCTCAAGTTGTCAGCAATATGGGTAGTTGTCAAAATTAGGGTCCCTTTTGGGGTACCCTAAATAAATATTAGGTGCCGTATTTATATTACGGACGCAAAAAGGGACCATAATTTTGACACCCACCCATATTGGTAGAAATCTTGCTGTAGGGCAAGACAAGCAGTAATGCAGCATGATCAAGAAGATTTGCTGAAAATTCTGCGGGTCTGCGCCTGCAGTGCAGCAAGAGCATCTTCATTCAAAAGGCTCAATCACAGGAATGCAACTGCGAGGACTACCCAGCTAGCATTGGGCATAATAGCAGGTTTTCGTAGGGGAACTCTCCAAGTCCTGGCGATGATTGGTGTGCTTGCCTTGGTTTTACAAAGTGGCTGGATGCGCTTTGCATCTAAACCTTCTTCCTGCTTAGTCTGTGCCGCTTTGCGGCAAGGCCACCTTCGAAACTGTTGAACGACAGACCATGCAGCAACTGTGCCAGTTCAACGCAATGCGGTGTGTTTGTCTGTTGGACCCCTCAGCCTTAGAAGCCGTAGTTTGCTGAATGTCCATGCTGGTCTGCAGAGCTCAACAGCCGAGGGTTTGAAGAGCAAGTCTGGAGGCTCTACGGAACAAGTAGCCAAACGCACCTGACACGCCCAGTATGGAAAATGGCCTCTGTCCACTATCGAGGCTCCAGGTTGAATACTTGTCGCACAGAAATCTCGACGAAATCTCAACCGGTGCTTGGCATTGAGTGCGTGCAGTAGCGACAGAAGAGGATTCAGAACATCCTCCACCCGTCGCACGCATTTCAAGCAACCCCACCTTATGCTTTAGAGTCTAGGGTTTACTCTCAGCACACTGAGAGCAGGCACCTCCTTCTTCACGGAGTGCTCTGCATCCCGGGCAGCATCCGCCAGGACTTTAAAGAAGCCTGAGTTGCAAACGATAATGGTCACAAAATCTCACATGCATGGACTGCTGCCGAAGCACCTGCATTCAGCACCTGCTGAACTTGATGCACAGTCCCGGCACAAATGTTCGAAAGCAGCCAGCAGCATTCCTGGCGGCAGTCAACATTGGGCTGTCAAGTCGCCATCGTCCTACGTCCTGCGGGGCAGTGAAGACTGAACGACCTCCCTCGATAACCAATCAAACTGCTAGGTAACGCCAATACCGACAACGGAGAAGTTGCTGTCCACCGCCAGCCTCAGTTCCTTCAGCCTTTCAGGCGATACCCATAGACACTCATGCTGGCTGCATGATGCAAGAAGTTGTTGCAATGACTCGAAGGACCCTTTAAAGCACCGATCTGGCCTTGCGAATCTTCATTCTAGGACCTTGGCAGCCACAAGCAAGTTGCCCAAGATGTCTTTGGGGGCCATCTGCGCCATCGCATGTGTGCTGGCAAGTTGCTGGACACAAGTCTGGTCAGAGCCGGGAAAGGCCTCGCCGGCCAAGCTATTCAGGCTCAACATGCTTTTCTCTTGCATGCCGAAGGCAAAACCTGAAGGCTGGGTCAATCAGCGGACTGCGACCCGTAATGCAGAGGCCAGTCTGCCGCAGTTCTGTGGCTCCGGCTCACAAGCGAGCACGGCATCCGTCTGGGTGTCGCTGCCGGTCACGATGTTGCCCACCTGTGGATGAACCCGCAGATGACACGTACACAAGCTCACTAAGTTAAAATGCTCAGCAAGTCCATATGGTGCAGATACAACACCCAGATCGCCGAAATATTTGGACCGGGAAGGAAGACTTGTTGAAGGTATCTCACGCCTTTGTCATGCTCACCTCTACGCCATTGTCTGTTTCGCCTCCCGCCCGGCTAGCATAAGCCTCTGTCGGGCGATTCGTGAAGGCCCTCGGGTTGTCGTTGGTAGAGACTTTCCAGGCGACCCCAACTCCAAATATGACCACATACTGAGGCCTCTGGAATCCGTAAGCGTTCTCACCAACTCCGCCAGTTCGGTCGATGGCTGAATGAGCACCATCAGGCTGAGATCTGGACTCGGGATCCTAAATTTAATCCTATAGATCCCAAACCCGAGGTGTGGCGTCCCAACGCCTGGACCACAAAATCTAAAGTCTAAGCCGAATATAAACCTTTCGCTTGCGCAGTTCTGCCGGGTTTCAGTGCGGAGCGCTGGCGTCTGCACTTGAGGCCTTGGATCTGCGTTGAGGGTTGGCCTTGTGCTGCGACTCTTTTGAAGCTCAGGACTTTTCTTGGCTCCTTCAGGCCTGGATAGCGTTCTAGCCTGGTTGTAGGGCTTGGCGACCAAACCTCCCACAAAAGATCGGGAGAAGCAAACTCCCCTCTCCAGGCTACAAGCGGGCCGGGGGAGCACACAGTGCAACTAAAGCACAAGCAGGCAAGACACTGGGACACCAAGGGAACCCGAAATCGATGGGCCCTTGAGAACCGGAAGCCCCCAAACCTAATCTCACGCAAGGTGCGAGTCGTGGCTGAGGAGCTCCACGACCCTCAGCTTTCGCGTGTTGCGGTGGTGTGAGGCCTATGCTAAAGTCACACAAAACTTTTGTCTGAAGGGGGGGGCAATTCCATGCCGGGCCAGCGCCCGGCACTTGACGGTGAAAAAGACCACTGATTAGCATGGTTTGCCTGGAGACTTTGCTTTTGCATGCTTTTGTTACTGGATATTTGGCAGTCTCTCTCACCAATGCTCAAGGGGGTCCTCTGGCAAAGAAGCGAAACGAACCATGACTTGCTCCAAACTTGTCAGCTACACAACTTCACGCAGCTATCTGTCGTGCTGCAGCTACACCAGCAGGTTTGCAAGAAGCAGAAACCTGCACATGACACCCAGCACGAGAAGACCGCATGGCCCAGCTCTCAGATCTTTCTCCTGGCAAGCCTGTGAGCACCCCGTTGCAGGCAAAGAGAGCACGCCAGCATGCTAAATGGGCATCACACAGCACAAGAAGATACACAACAGAATAGTAATCCACCCAATTCAACGTGCATGGCATTAAATGCACCCGCAATATTGTAAAGAAGAATCTCCATCAATAACCGAACTCCTGGCACAAAAATGAGGCCACCGACTATGGAGCCTTGAATCATGAATCTGCAGTCTTTACAGCCTCAGCCCTAAGCCCTAAACCCTAAACCGTTTGTGCAGCTGGGCTGAGTGTCAACCAGCGATTCCGCCCACGCTCTGAAGTTCAGCGCTGCTGACTGAAACGCTAGTTTAAACCCCAAACCCTAAACCCTAATCTGAGCCGCCGGCCTCCGACAGACACCGGCATCCTTGGCTCTCGAAGCACAGTGGCTCCAGGATCCGGGCTTGGGGTTTTGACACTCGCACTCGGACAAGCCTGGCAAGGTCTGCGTGAGATTCGTCGTCACGAGGCAAATTCAAGTCACTTCGATGTGGGCTGTCAAGAAGGATGCACAACACGCCAGACACAAGTCTACAAGCAAAGGCCTTCATCCGTTTGACAGCCTTCCTGACGAGCCGACTCGCCTACACGCAACGCAAACAACCACGAACTAGCTTGGCTTTGAAGAAGCCGTGAAACGCGCTCTCTAGCTAGTGCGAGATCTGGTACTCCACAACCATCGAAGTAGGTCTCACTCCGATGTGTGCTGTCAAGAAGGATGCACAACACGCCAGACACAATCTGCAACCATAATACCCCATCCATTTGACAGCCTCCCTCACGAGCCGACTCACCTACACCCAACGCAACCAACCACGAACTAGTTTGGCTCTGAAGGATCTGGGAAACGCGCTCTCTAACTTCTCTCCCCATACTTCACTCCGAACGCATGCAGTCTGTGCTTCAAGACTCCCCTCATCGACAACCATGCAGAGTCAAATCCTCGTTGACAACCATGCAGAGTAAATCAATGTCTTGTTTTCAAAGACCTCCCCACGCCAGGTATATGGGTTTGCCGTGCAGATCCTCCTCTCACCTGCTTGAACACCAACGTTTTCCAATGCATCACCTGTTAATTCATTGGTTCAGTCAGGCAAATCCTCCACTCGTTTGCAGATTGTATAACAGCTTCTGTCCTTTCAGATACATGCAGAGATACTCCAGTGTAATGTATGCCCACTGTGTGCATTCCAAACTCCTGAATTCGCATGGAACTCTTTAAGAGCCGCAGCGACCCAGTCAGATACATTGCCACGGCATCAGATAGCGTAGCCACCACTGAGTATTTGTCAATCGCTACACATGCAGTTCGTCTCGCTTTGAATCTCCCAACCAGCTCCAGCCCATCAGTATCAGAACTGTTTCAGGAGCATCATGCAGGATGCGGGGCCCTTCTTGGTAGGCGGGAACGGCATTCCGAGCGATTTAGCCTTCGCTCTGAAATTCCGCCTTTCCGCCTCCAATCGCCGGAACTCCTCATCGGCCGTGAAACTGCTGGCGTTCACGGCTTGCTTTTCCAGGAAATCGATCTCCAAGGGATGAGGAGCCCGGACAGAGGAAGCTCCATGGCGCCGAAACAAAGTCGAAGGCGAAAAGCAGCTTGAGCACAAGATGGGCTTGAGCCAAAATAGCTACGGGCTTAGGGTTTTAGGGTTTGGGGTTTAGGGCTTACGCTCTCAGAACTCGGACATGCCAGGCGAGGTTCCATAGCTGCAGGTTTTAGGGTTTAGACTTTCGCAGGCGAGGTTGGTCCATGGTTCGCAGGGGAGGCACGTGTGGCCTCTTGTCGGCACTCCCAACTCCCAGAGTCACAACGATACAACAAACCACGGAGTCATAGCCAAGTCAGGAGCGGGGACCTGAGGCTCATCTCGAGCCCTGTGCTAGGTCACGGCAGTCTGAAAACAACCCACAAGGCAGCAACAACTTACAAACGTCAACAGACACAAGAAATGGCTACGGGCCCTCAGTGAAACTCACGGCTTTCGTTCCAGCTAGAAGTGCAGACCCAGTAAAGTATACATTAGAATACAGGCTGCGCATGGCGGCTCGTTGGCCCCCGTTTCCCCAAGTGCATCAGGATAGAAATATATAAAAACATCATAATAACTTCGGAAGGGAGGAACCAGGCTTCTGTTCTTTAGCCCTCTGCATCCAACAAAGACAGGGCAAGTCCTAGAGCTCGTAAGTAAGCAGGGTTTTTGACACGCACATTCGGACAAGCCTGGCAAGGTCCGTAGCGATACTGGTCCATCGAAACAGTAACATCGTACTTTGGCACGTGTCACCGGTTACGTTGCTGTCAGGCAAGACCCTCAAGACGACAACAGCAAATGCACAACCGTTACTTCAGGAGGTCATCTGACAGCAGACTTCCACGACAGCAAACGTCCTAAACCCAAAAGACCCAAGACCTAGTTTACACTGCGTGGAGGTCCCGAGAAACCTTGAGTTTGACGACTCGAACGTCTATACAGACACTTGCAGCTCATGACATCTTGTCTCCAGGCAGACTCTTATAAGCTTCGCTGGCAAAAGACGTCACATGCAGACTTCATATGCAGGCCACATGCATCCATCTGCGCGTCATCCAGACTGCACGCGATGCACTCCATGCACTTCACAGATTCAGTCCAGAAGTCATAATTCCATGGTGCCTCTGCTCCAAACTCGTAAACGAGAGCAGCCTCTAATCCCATCTCTGTATGTTCGTACTTGTCTGAGAATTCCAACGAACCAAGCATGCATGTTTCTGTAACCAGTTCTGAATTCCCTTTCGGCGGGCGAAGTTTTGTGCAGGATTCATTCCTTCAATAAGGCCTTTATGTAGTAAACACTCCATGCAGCAAAATCTCCATGCAATAAATTCTCATCCGTACTTTCTCATCCGTACAAACGCCCGGGAATATGCAGGTTCCCTGCGCATGCACTGAAATGTATTCATTCCTTCCAAAAGGTCTCCATGCTCTTCATGTAGTATAATCTCCTTGCAAGAAAATCTCCACGCAGGAAGTTCCCAGTCATTCCCAGTCGCAACTTCGCCCAGGAACATGCTGGTTCTGGCGGGGGCAGACGGCTACAGCCTCAAAAGGTCACGTCCCTTTGGTGGTCGAGGGATTGTACAACTAGTTACAAGTACGACATGCAGCGAGGCGGCCATGCGGAAGGTGAGCGGTGTCCATGCAAAGGTTGAGCCATCGCGCATTCGCGGTGTTCCAGCATCGCATCGACAACGATGAACCCCGTTCTCAAACGAATTGCGCATAAACAACTTTGAGCAGAGCATCAATGTAGACATGGATCCGCTCAGTTGTCTCCGCGGGTCCTTGATAAACCATGCAAACAGTTGTACGCCCTTGCCAGCAGCTGATCACAGCCGGCAAGATGGCTATCTCTGAATTCCAGTATCTGAATTCCTTCAAGCCCCTCAGTCGTGGATCCCTTCAGGCTGGCGAAGACTCCAGTTGTGACCAAAACGCCTCATTCCAAATCCTCGCCCATGTTGAGCAACACATCCGGCTCCCAGCAACAACAACACACGTACCTCCTCGTCCTCATCCGTCTCGTTTTCCGTGATGTTCTCAGCCGCCTCATTGGCCTGGAGCTGGTTCGGGGCCTCGTCTTCCGTGATGTTCTCGGCCCCCTTATTGGCCTGGAGCTGGTTCGGGAGGTTCACCGGCTCGAGTGCGACTTGGCCACCGAGCCCTTCGCCTTTGACAGCTTCTTCTCCAGCTTCCAAACCTGCGGCAGCAAAATCGCGAGCTTGGGCACTCCGTCCAAGAAGGCCTTGGGCGGTCCCTGCGCAACCCCCTTCATCTCAACGAAGCGAAGAAGCAAGACTAGCGGGCTTCAAAGCGCCCTTGAGCCTTGAGCCGTAGCCGTTTTTAAGCGGGGTTTAGGGGTTTGGACTCCAGCCCCTATATTATGCCTGTCCTTGTCATCCCGTATCAAGGCAGTCTAAGGGCAGTCATGCTGGATAGAGAGCTGGGAGTGGCAAGTTTCCAAGTCGATACTCTGATTCAGGCTTGCAGCTATTGCTTCATGACAAAGCATGTCTTTAACATTGATGTCTTGGTGGATCCCGACGTTCAGGATTGTGCGCTGTTGGAGTTGCCACATGTGGTCAGGGTGGTTTAGCTTCAGCATTCGGGTAGTCGTTACGTGGAGTGCCTATCCTAGGGAGTGGAGTGCTTGTGTGCCAACGTTTCCGATCCTCGGCTGAAGAACGGCAGAAGAGGCAATGCTGGCAGTCATCAAGAAAGGGGTCTACAACGTACCTGCTTTCCTAGCTGCAGCCGCATGATGGGCCGAGAAGCCAGAACTGCTTGGATGTATCTCTCTGTACCGTCGGAGACGTACGAGACCGTCCACAGGGCATCTGTCAGAACTTCCTGCCCAAGCACCGCATGCGGCTTAGGGCTAGGGCGGCAAGGGCTACCAGGGTTCGTGGCCTGCGCATGCACGTGTCAGGATGACAGGATGCTCCGCATCTCAGGCTCATGCCTAATCACATTTGAGGCTTGTGTGCATACCTACACAAGCAAAGCCCGTCGATTGCCGGAGCCTACCTAGGTGCGTGAGCGGAAACCGAAGGACTCCGAAGAGTCTACCACTTCGGAAGCTAAAACATGAGTTCGTCTCCATTTCACGAAGTCCTGGTCTGTGTTGTACAGCACCCGAGCCATTACCGGCAGTGCCGGAGCCATCGACTGCAAATGGAGTTGACGGATTGAAACATCTAGGGTTTGGGGTGCCGTGCACTCACTCTCGGATCCAAATTCCAGCTGTGCAGATCGCCACACAGCACCGTCATTCTGATACTGCAGCAGTCCCTACACTGACACATAACAGCACATTACACGCTCATCATGCAGGCTTATAGCCAACCTCGCTGGACACGAACCTCTTCACCAAGACCCCGGCATTGACAGCACTCCATTGCCACAAAGTCTCTCACAGGCATAGCATGAAATCATTGGTATTCAATGCTCGACAAAGCAACTATGGCAAGAGTCATTCTCCTGGTCATGGTCCTGATATTCATTTTCCATTCAAAGACCCGCAATAAAACAAGCCATGTGAGGATAATCGTCGCAGCAGCACGAGCAGCAGCAATAACAATGTCGTCATCATCGTCATGACGGTCATAACATCTGCAATTGCAGTGGCGATGACTGCCATCCTGATAACAAAAGGATGCAAACCCTCCTGTCAAAGTGACACTAGGCACTACGTCGTAGGATAGTTCTTCTAATGTATAACTTACCATATATTATATGCTATCTAACATAATATACGTACACATATACATATATAAGTAAATAAATATGTATATATATATATATATACACACACACTCCCCATACTGACCTCGAGACTGGGCTTCGGTGTGCCGCGGCAGAAGTTGGAGACGGTCCAAGTAGCGTTCCTGATGCAGCTAGTCCTGAGAAGAGTGCGGTTTCGGGTTTTCGACGTGTGCGGTTTTAGGATCACCTGAACGTGTAAACGTGTTTCTTGATTCAGTTGGCAACTGGTCGGGGCTTTTTGAGGCCCGCATGCCGTGGAGCACCAGACTAGCTAGAGAACAAAGTGCAAAAAAACGGGGACACAGTGACCGTCCCTACGTCTTCGCATCACCTGTGCTCCAACACAAATGGCTGCGGACAGCGAATTCACGACGGATTGTTACTGACCGTCTTTGCCATCTTCGTTGACAATACCAAACGAGTCCTGGTCATCTAGTCATTGATGACCATTGCCACAAGACTCAAGATGCTTCCTGCCCCACTGGCACCTGAAGACGAAACTAGCCCCCACTGGGCATACCGGTAGTTTGCAGAGACATGCCGTCGCAGCCCGGCCCCTGAGGTTCTTCGGTCTGTCCAAGCATCTTGGTGGTGCCCTCCAAGACCTTGAGCACCTCAGCTCAAGACACATCCAATGCATTCTGTCCCTCTTCACTTCTCCGACTCCATCTGGACACGACTTGCCAACACACTCCCAAGTGCGACATTTGCAGCCCAGCCGCTTCGGCCAACGAGCCAGTGGACTTAGAGAGCAGGGTCGCCGAGGCCCCGGGCTGTGAAGCTTGGGGCATCAAAACAAGTAGAGGAAAAAACTTAAAGGCTTTCAGGCTTGACGCCGGCATCCATTACAGTGGTGGCAAGGTGTCGTCGCGCGACGAGCGGTCCAAAAGAGGCAAGTCCGACAGACAGCGCTGTTTAAAGTGTACTTCTTGCTTGGCCAGGGCTCAATGCACAGGTCTCTGTGTTGCACAGAGTCACCTGTCCCGCAACCGGCGAAAATCCACCCGACTGCTGAGAACAGAAAACCTGCAAAGCACAACTCACCAAAACACGCACCGATTGCTTTGGTACACATGCACCGCATGCAACATTCGCAAAAGTCCCGACCAGAGGCTGCCAGGCCTGCGATGTTCCCCAAAGCCCAAACACCCTGCTCGAGCACCTGGGCCAGAAGCTCAGCTTCCGAGAGAATTAAAACAAAATCCCCAAGACCCATCGAAGCCAAGCCTGAAGAAGCTTACGTCGCAGCTAGCGGCCCTTCCTTAAGCCTTGAGACTAGCCTTCAGGTTGCGGAGTGGCTCCAACTCTAGGCTTTGGGGGATTCAAAGTCGCAAGATGAAGCGTCAGCGGCTATCAGGCTATGACGTCTACGGCCTTGTCAGTCAGGTCTCGGCCCCCGCAGGTAAGGGGACTGACGCTTCACGGCGTGTCTACACATCCGCATAGAGACAGCCTCGTGTGTACATGCGTGCGCATGTACGTGTGTTTATGTTACATATCATATCTAATTGCATACGTATGCGAATATATGCATACACAAACAGAGAGATTTATCTATCTGTCTGTCTGTCTGTCTGTCTATCGATCTATCGATCGATCTATCTATGTGTGTGTCTATCTATCTGTCTATCTATCTGTGTATCTATCTATCTATCTATCTGTCTCTGTCTGTCTGTCTGTCTGTGAGTCTGTCTGTCTATCCGTCTATCTCGCTCTCTATCTGATGATTTATGACGGGCCTTTGCGCCTTGGGACATTGGGCAGTGCCCACAATCAGCCACGCGACATCGCTGTTCGTGCAGTCTCTCAGGAGGTTGGTAATGATCGGGACGGCGTCGAGATCGACGATTGCCTCTTAAACTCTGAAGCATAGGCTTCCCAGCACCCCGGCATTGTCAAGGGTCGTAGATGGCTGGGATGATTATTTGGGAAGTGTGACTATTTCGGCTGCGAGGCTACAGGGTGCTGAATCTTGACTTTGCGTAAATTCGTTCATCCTTGACCAGAAAGAACACAACCAGCCAAAGAAGACCTACAAGCGAGCGCGGTGCTCTGCGGAGAAGCTGGTGATTGACTCCCATGAGAAAACACGGCAAGCCCACAAGAGAGAAAGAAACCGAAGCCACAGTGCCTGCGTCTGGTGAACATCTCCCGAGACGATGTTCAAGATGGCCCACAACGTCTCAAACTGCAGCTTCCTTGGCTGCTGTCTCAAACGCTGTCGTCCTCTATTGCTGAAGAGGCAGTATAAAATTGTGACAACATCTACATCTTGCACAGCACGATTAAACCGAATTTAGCCCAAGCCCTGTAAAGCTGGATAGCACAACAAACGGGTCACAAACAGACTAGACCACCAATCTAAAAACACCAGATCCCACAAGCCCCAGATGTTCACCCGTCCCTGGTAGCCACAAGCCTCAAACGTCCCTGAACGTCCGTTCAGGCTGCCAGGTGTCGGTGCATCCATCCTGGGAACAATGCCAGGCAACAAGCAGCAAAACAAGCAAGGTGTAGGGTTTGGGATTGCGATTAATTATGGCGGTTGGAGACCCGAGGCGATCAGACATGAGACAGAATTTCGCGACTGTAGCCTATATTGCTACATGCCGACAGTCCAAAGGCAAAGGCCGTTTTCTTGTTGCAGGCAGCAGGAATTCTAGACAGAAACTTTTTTGCTACCTGCTACCTCCATGAGCTCCTCTGGTGTCAAGAGAGGTGCCAAAGAAGCAAACCATCCTCCGACGGTGCAACCACCCAGATCTACCACACAAGTGTCAAACACAAGACTCTCGCGCCCAGAGGAGCGTTCACCACCCGCATAGTCACACAAATGAATCACTTTCGAGAAGTGCTCCCGCGCTCCCTACACACAGACCAGACAGAAGCCTCATCCTCCAGAATTTGAAAGCCCGAGTACCCAGGTACACCAAACAAACAGAATACCCCCAACAGACGGAACTCGAACAAGGAACCAACTCAGCAACTACAAGATGGCTACGGCCGCCGAAGCAGTCACAACACCTTCGCGTCATACAACAGGCTGACAAACATCTGTCCAAGATGTTTCAGTCCCACGGCGCTTCAAAAGGGGAGTCCAAAATACCGGCAAAGAAAGTCCCAGTGTGCACCCACCAATAATTCGTAACTAGACCCCAAGCAAACCCAACAACCACACCTAGCCAACTACTGTCAACGCCAGTTGCAGCGTCACTCACGATCGGACTTTGCAAAGGCATCTTTCCTTCCTCCTACTCCAAACAAAACTCCTGACATGTTGAAAACTCCATAAGTAGGCAACAGGAGGACACAGTCGATCATGCCCTTGCAAACCAAGCAATCGCACACCGTCGTTTCTTAGAGCACCAACGCTAGGACCCATCATGACCCATCACCTGCCCAGATCTTTGATGACATCGAATTTGCCTGGCCCATCCTGCCATGTCTTTCTTGGCCCTCCGTCAAAAGCGCCCCTTCAGGTACGATCGCGGGCATTCGTAAGCCGTCTCCGAGCCAAAATAGGTTCGAGGTTTTGGGGCATGAAGTTTCAGGAGTTTGGGCAGTTTGGGGCTTCAAGGGTTTATAGACGTTAGGGTTTATGGGTTAGGGACTGTCTTTCGCGGGTCCACACGTCCACTCAAGAGTCCGAGCATCTGTTGACTGAGCTCGAGGAGGCGTGGTGCGACGCCGAGAGTGAGTACCTTGTCAATCCTTGGGGCTTTCGAAGGCTTCTGGAGCTCGCTTAAGTTTTGGGTTTAGGGTTTAGGGCTTAAGTTTTCCGCTGCCGTAGCTAAACACAAAACTCGGCACTTGCAATCGGATCGAAGAGGAAAATCATGAGCAAATTCAAAGGTCCAAAAGGGCTACTTCGGGAAACAGGAAGGTGCTGCAAGGGCTGTAAGCGACACTGCAAGGTGGCCAGTCCGCACACAACCCCTTGCATGTCAGGCAGGATTCAGGATGGCCACGGCCATGCTTGGTGAACCAACGGTAGTGCATGCTTTGTGTACTCTAACCTAATGTAGCATATTGTCACTTAGGTTCCCCTGAACGACTTGGCTTGCCACCTGAGGGCTCCCTAGCCTTCGCGCATGGGGATTTCGGCCTCAAGAAAGAGGTCCAAGACCTACCCGGTCGTAAAGGACCTTTTCTATTGAGACAAGTGTCGGCGGATCCCGCTCCACGCTGAGAATTTTCCGAAGGTGAGTGGCTGCGTCAATCTGGTACTCCATCGAGGTTGACCTTGCCATGACGAGGAGGGAGGGAATAAGCATGAGTTTCCGGAAGTAGCTGCTTCCATCGGTGAGCCGTCACTGATGCAACAAACGAGTAAACGATAGCAGCTGCTGTGTTCTATCTTCAGTCGCAACCCAGACCACCAAAGCATCGCTCCGATGTCCGGGTACAACTTTTCACGTGTAGGCTGCTAGTTGTGAGTTGCGACTGCTGCAAGAACTGTGGTGCACAAACTGAACTCCGAGGCCATCACATCAGCATCGCTTTCCTTATTTGTAGCAACAGCCGCAAACAATACTCGACGAAGCCAGCCATGTGAAGCTTGCAGCATGGAAAAAAACAGTGGCAAACTGCCAGGAAGACAGTGCTGGGCGCTGCAGGGACTACCCATCCACCAAGGATCAGCGTAGAAAGCTGCTCAACAGCAGGAATGCTGCCATCGAATTGGGGTATCTGCTGTGTCACGACCAGCAATTCCAGAACATCCTTCCAAACGCAGCAAGGGGCATGAAGACAGCAGCCGGGTTCGGGTATTATAGCAACCTCTGCAAACTATAGGATGGTTTGTGCCTAGATCGGGGGTCCTCACCGCGCAGCAATGTCCGAGATCTCTCATCATCCTTCAGTTTGGAAGAGCTCACAACATGTCTTCGCGAGGCATTGAAACCCAAGACCAGAAACCCAAAACCACAAAGCTGTAAGCCCTGTACCTCCAGCTGCCGCTGGTCGAGCACGAACTTGACTTCATCGATGCAGCGTTGAAAAACGTCAGCCACTTCCTTGCAGCGACTTAGGGAAGGGTGCATCAAACTTCGATGTCCAATACCTCAGTACCTCAGAGCTTGGGTCTAGGTCCGCAGTTCTGATCTATGTATGCATGTTGCATGTGCGCAGCCGGGTCGCCTGCAATCATGTGTTTGTCGATATGCTAAACGGAAGGTCGTGTTTAGTAAGAGAGGTGGATGCACCGATATATAGATCGATCGATTGGTAGGTGTGCGCAGAGACGGAGACAGCTCGGCATACGTGTATACATACATATCTGTATATATATATATATATGTAAGTACACATCTGTGTGTGCTTGGCTTCGTGTTCATGCGACCAGGCAGAGAAAGGAAATAAAGAGAGCGAGAGAGAGAACAAAAAAGGAGGTCCAAGAAAGCAAAACGGAAAGACAGGAAGAAAGAGACACATAAACATATACATATACATATACATATATATATATATGTATATATACATATGCATGTATAGACTCACATGTGCGTGTCTATGGGTATGTATTAAAAAAACTATATATATATATATATACATTTAGATACAGATACGGATACAGGCATGGATGTGGATACGGATATGGCTATGGATCTGGGTGCGGGTATAGATGTGGATATAGATACCGATATAGACAGAGAGGAGGACGACAGAAATATAGACGTAGACGTAATAGAGATTCGGATGTAGATATAGGCATAGATACAAACACAGATAAAGATGTAGATAGGTTTACTTGTAGGTGAAATGAAAAAGGAATGTTAGGTTTAGGTAAAGCTATACGAGTAGCTATGGGTATAGATACAGGCACCGATGTAGCTACAGATATTAAACAAGGTTGTGTCATGGAAGTAGACTTAAATATAAACATAGACAGAGCTAGAGATACAGATAGAAACAAAGATAGAGGTAGAGATCGAGGAAGAGATACGGATAAACATCGAGATAGAGATTTAGATGGAGATAGCGATAGTGGTAGTGATAGAGATCAGGCTTTGGAGACACAGAGATAAACACTATAGACATATAGAGCAGTATAGAGCTAGAGAGATATATAAAACAAATATATGGAAATACAAAAACCGACACACACACACACATATCATATATATATATATATATGCAAGTATGCATGTATGTACGTATGTATGCATGTCTTTACGTCTATATATACATATGTATATACATGATGTTTACATAGGTGTTTTCATACATCTCTTTAAACACGTATATGCATAAAGTACCATGGGCCAGCAATGCTAGCAGGAATCCTTCCGCAGCTGCCCCACTGTTTTGTCAAGGTCCTGCAGGGTGATAAGCAAAGACAGACTTGACATGGCAGCACCAGCCCTTTCTGCGCAACTCCTATCCAAGTCGTTCGACACAACTCTAAACCCTAAACCCTAAACCCTAAACCCTTGCGCAGTACCCGATTAACAGCAGGGTCAGCCGGAAGTCTGGGGCGTCAACTTGACAGCAAATTCTGTCGAAGCTGGAAGCATCGAAACAATAACCCTAAACCCTAAACCCTAATGAGGGTTTCAGCACTCACTCTCGGACGATCCTAGGCGAGGTTCCTGGTACGCGACGACTCCACTTTGGCAACATAAACCCTAATGAGGGTTTAGGGTTCAGGGTTTAGGGCCCGCAGGCCCGTCCTTTCTTGGAACGGACATTACCACGGAGCCGGCAGCCGTTCGCACCCGAATTGCTTCGCCTTCTTCGGCTGACTCTTCAAGTTCTCCCGTCTTCCTGAGCAACAGGTGGGGGTTTAGGGTTTTTTCCCTCTTGCATTGCAGAGAACTATGCTCACAGCGAGGTTTAGGGTTTAGGGTTTAGGGTTTAGGGTTTAGGGTTTCGGCTCTCACACTAGGGTTTAGGGTTTAGGGTTTGGGGGCCTAAGGTGCTCTAAGATTCTACGCCGGATCATGCTGCCGGCCCTCATTTTGAGAGCCTGGTGCTCCCGTGCTCGAGTGGTCTTTCAGGCCTGAACAAGAACGGCCGTTATGGGTTGGAGGGGCAACATCGGATCCCGATCGAAACGTTTTGCAAGCTGAAAGTGAATACAAATCCGCATCTCCGAGGATGTACTAGGCCCTAACTAGGCCAACCTGACCCATGTCGGCTGGGGCACTGCTTCTTCAACGAAATGGACCGCTTGATGGAGGGCACAGCTCCTGATAAAGGTGTGGCCATACCGTGCGTAGAGAGAGAAGGTGCAGCAGAGACAGAAAGGAAAACAGATAGAGAGAGCAAGCGAGCCAGCGAAGGAACAAGGGAGCGAGCGGCCTGGGCTTCGTTCTTGCTTGCGTGCGCATGTGTGTGCACGCCGCCTGCATGCATTCAGATTCAGGTGTGATGTAGTTTAACAAAGACACGCGTTACCGCCGACATGGAAGAAGGGTCTCACATTAAGCCTTTCCGAACGTCAGTGTGGGGCCATGACTCTGCCATGGAACTCCGGACCTCTGAACACTAGGATGCGAGAAGGAAAAGTCGCAAGCCATCCCCAGCGGACTGGGTTTCGGGGTTAGGCCGTAGGGCGGTGAGCGACTTGTTCAGATATGCCTTTGGAGGGGCCTGGTCTTCGTCTTAGTTTCCGTCAGAGCAGGCACTCGGGATGGACGGAGTCGCCCGCGTCTCTTTCGTACAAAGCCCAAGGATCCACGTTGCGAGCTTGGATGTTGAATAGGCTAATCTGACCTTGGAACCAAGCCACGATGAGGCTGGTATCTTTGGCTCGTGGCTTTGGTAGTGTCAGAGGCATCGACTTTTGCGTTCCTTGATTAGTTATCAATTACAATCAATTACAAAAACATATAGCATCGTGCTTTTAAGTAATGCGCATATATAGTCACAACGTGACCTGGCTTTGTCTCCCTATGTCAGCAGCAGGGAGTTCAGGAAGAAATGTTGAGGCACGGCCAGTGGAGAAGACAGCGCACGCTCTTTCTTGTGGAAAGATGTGCGCATGTGTAAAGAGCTGATCTGGACATCGCTGGCTCTGAAGTTTCACGCGCATCTCCTTCTTGAATGTCGAAGATCCACATCACCACATCCTGTCAACTGGTAGCTGCCCTGCAGCTGAAGAGACCATCCTTTTACCGTTGTCCTTTATGTGCCTGGGCCTCTTATGTGCTGAGAGACCTATGCCTCGCCTCCTGCACTGCAGTAATCACTAATCGTTCGACTACCTCAGCAGCTCCATGTGCAGGTGATCTCGTCGGCTCCTAACTGTTAGGACACCCCACCTCCAGCTTTACCGGCACGGCGCCCTTGTCGATGCCCGGAGGCTTGTCGTCTCCGGCCCCGAAGAAGCGCGAGCGTAGCTCTTTTAGCAGGGCATCCGTGCCTGGGGCTGCAGCATGCGTGGAGTTGGAAAGACAACCGCGAATTCCACCCTGGAAAGAAACTGAGAGACAAGCGACTGTGCGATCTGAAGTCGATCTCTACCAACAACCGGGAGCAATCAGGATTTTCGGGTTGAGATTTGGAACATGGGTCATCGTTTGGCTGGGGCAGTGTATAGGGCTGGGCTTGTAAACACTTCGCGGATCCTGGCGTGCTGAGTGAAGCAGAGCTGCAAAAGTCAGGATCCAAGCTCTGCAGCACGTCGCAGAAGACGGCCCAGTCCAACACATCGTCACCCTTGCTGAATACTAGAATTCAGCAATTATCCTAAGACCATCATGAGAACAGAGGCAATGATGCCGTAGTAGCTTGAAAAAGACCAGAGGAAGTTAGTCCTCTCTTCTTGGAGGATCATGGGACTTAGTAACTATAATAATAACCCCAATTAGGGTAATTATAACACTACTTACTAAGTCCCATGATCCTCCAAGTTGTTTCTCTCCACCGTCGCTGAGAGCATTTTCAGAGCTTCAAGGTTGCATCCGCCACGTGGGGGTTTCCGAAAATAGGGGACCCTAATATAGTTCCCCAAATAATAGGATCCTTATTATAAGGACTCCAAAATAAGGTACCCCTAATTTTCGGAAACTCCCACGTAGACACGACTTCTGGGCCACCACCCACGAGGCAGGCATCTCCAGAGAACCCAATACCCCTGAATTAAAGAATATACCTTAAGTCATAATATTAAGGCCCCTTAGTTTAAGGCATATTCCTTAATTAAGGGGTATTGGGTTCTCTGGGTTGTGAGCGGGTTGAAGGTTCCGACTTTCGCTGGGTATTGGTATAAGGATCTCGCGGGTTATGTAAGGGTGTTGGCAGACCTTCGCATCAAGCAACTTATTTATGACACTTGTCTTCGACATCAAGAAGCGATTGCTGCGACAGATGCAAAGTCTGCACCGTGCGAAACATGCAGATGCCCTAATCCCTTTTTGCACGTGCTACAGCTCCTGCCACTGGATTTGTCCGTCTCCATGACGACAAGAGAGGAGAACGGCGACCAAGAACAAACAGCGAGAACCGCAGGTAGCTTTCTCTCTGGGAGTAGCAGAAGCAATCAAGATGATCATGTTTGTCATCGCCATTGGCGGCATCGTCTTTGTCGTCGCCATCATCATCAGCATCATCATAAGCAATCGCAGACGAGGCCTCCAAAACAAGCCGGCAACTCCATCAAAAGGACAACAAACTATGGCGTCTAGCATTAGCCCTGGGTGCCTCCTTAGAGGGGCTCGGGAGTTTCCAACCTTGCTTTCTAGTCTCGGGTATATAAACAAGACTCTAAGGACATCGCCAGCAGACTGACAAGTGCAAGCATTCTGCTACGGCCGCTCCAGGTAGACCACGTGCCAAACTGCGCACTGCGACCCCCGTCAAACCACATGCCGAAAGCAATAACCCCGAAACCCTGCAACCTTGTAGCCCCTAAGCCTTGAAAGAAGATTACGCCCCAGAACCTTTTCAGAAAGCAAGGGCCCTAAACCCTAAACCCTAAACCCTAACAGCCATCTGGGCGAGTCGCGGCTGCCTGGTGCTTCCGAAAGCAAGCCATGACCGACTCGTAGGTCGGTTTCCTCGGGGGCTCTCTTCATGTTTGCCGGTTTAGGGTTTAGGGTTTGGGGCTTAGGGTTTAGGGCTCCTTTAAGGGATCCTTTAAAGGGTTCCTGTAAGGGATCTATAAGGGTTCCTAAGTATGTGGTTGTTGTAGGTTATGGTACATCGGAGTATATTATCGTATAGCATAGTATGTCATAGTAGTAAATCCAAAAGCCTCGGGGGCTCTCTCTTCACGTTTAGCCTTGCTAAAAAGGGGTTTCGACTCTCACACTCGCACAAGGCCGGCAAGGCCTCGTCCACAGGTTGGGCGAAAGCTAAACCCTAAACCCTAAACCCTTAACCCTAAACCCTAAACCCTAAACGTATCAGCAACAGCTTTTTAGGGCTTCGGGAGTTCCGGATTTCCCGGATCTGGAGCTTTGACACTTGCACTCGGACCTGGGAAGATCTGTCATGACTGTCTGAATAATGAATAGCGAATGGGGTTTAGGGTTTAGGGTCTAGGGTTTAGGGGTTTAGGGGTTTAGGGTTTAGGGTTTAGGGTTTAGGGTTTAGGCACCCGAACTAGGACATTGCGCAAGTTACGCTCATGGTAAAACAGGACCTTGCAGTTCTACTCCAACGACAGCAGTCACCTCGCAGGACCACCACCCTATAAACTCACACGACAAAGAGCCCACACCCTAGTAGGTCCTGGAGACAACCGGTGAAACCGACTCTTCAAAGTTGTCGTGCGGGCCCGCGTTCATCCAACAACACGCAGGGCTCCTGGGGTTTACGCTCTCAGTGCTCTCACAAGTCAGCGCAGACCGATGAGGTTCGTAGTCGGTTTTCGCTGGCATGCAAGCGTTCCACCGACAGAAGTGACCTAATCCATGTGCCTGCTTGGCTGAGGTTCGTGCCGCACTGCAGGGGTTCCAAGGTCGTCAGCGATGAAAGATCCAAACACCACAACATACTAAGATTCCTCGCATTCGCCTCTTCGACCTCGGATATTCAAGCCCAGCCACTCTTTTGAGACCATGGAAGCCATGGCTGCTCTCGCGCCCCGGCAAAGGGTCCGAAGAGGCTGGCAGGAGTTCTTGGGCTGGAGACGGCAAGCGCAGCGGATGTCCCAGCCCAAGATTTGAAAGGCTCGGGGCGTTCCGGTCTCGCTCTTGCTTCGGCAACAACACCCGAAGCAGTAGTAGTGCCCAACCTTGATCTGGCTAGTTTCGGTTAGGAGCTCGGAATTTGCCTACCGAATTCTGCCGGCCAGGAGCTCGGTAACCTCCCAACTGAGTATCCTGGATGCGAAATTTCGTGGCGTAATTTGTGCAGCACACTCGTAAAGCGAGGCTGCGATCTGCAACATCAACCGCCGCCACCAACACCACGACTGCTGTCATAGCAACCACAACCACGAGACTCACCACCAAAAGCGCTCAAGACTCAGATAGTAGCAGCAGTGGCAATGGCAGCCACCACAACGACAACAACAACAACAGCAACCACCACCACGGCCGCGTGGCCATCGTCACAGCCACAACCACAACGACGACGACGACAACAAAAAACAAGAAAGCAGAAGAAACGCTTTGCTGAGAACAATGGTATACAGAAGCGGCCCTCCTCGCTGCCATCATTACCAGAATCATCGTCATCATCATCATCATCAACATCACCACCGGCATTCTCCAAATCGTCGTCTTGACAATCTTGTGCTCAAGGAAGCAGGTTGGCAGAGGATCGTGGGATCAATGCATGGCTTTCTGCTGCACAGCTTAGAGCCGCAGGGTTACTTGAATTGAAGCCGGCAGGCTCTCTGCAGTAGTCGAGCAAGTTCGCCCAGCCCCCTTACTGTTCATCCACCGAGAACTGCCGAGTCTAACACTCTGTAGACCTCGACTGTAATCTTTTCATTGCCGTTCTCATTGTCATTGCTGCTGGTAGTGGTAGTGGTAGTAGTAGTCGTCGTCGTAGTAGTGCTAGTGCTAGTGCTAGTGCTAGTGCTAGTGCTAGTGCTAGTGCTAGTGCTAGTGCTAGTGCTAGTAGTAGTAGTAGTAGTAGTAGTAGTAGTAGTAGTAGTTTTGTGTAGTAGTAGTAGTAGTAGTAGTAGTAGTAGCAGAAGTAGTAGTAGTAGTAGTAGTAGTAGTAGTAGTAGTGGTGGTAGTAGTAGTGGTGGTAGTAGCAGTAGCACCAGCACTAGTACTAGTGCGAGTACTACTACTAGCACCAGTACTAGTGCTAGTACTAGTACTAATACTGGTACTAGTACTAGTTCTAGTGCTAGTACTAGTACTGGTGGTAGTACTAGTGCGAGTGCTGGTGCTAGTGCTAGTGCTAGTGCTAGTGCTAGTGCTAGTGCTAGTGCTAGTGCTAGTGCCAGTGCTAGTGCTAGTGCTAGTGC